TAGAGCCGCCCCCTGCCTCCCGCCCCCAGACCGTGCAGCGCGGGGTCCCAGAGCCGGGCCAGCCCCCTGCGCCGGGGGGCCCGGTGCCTCCGCCCCGCACTCGCTGGCAGCTGCACCTCCCCCTGCCCTGCTAGTCTTCCATGCCACGTGAAGGAGGCTGCTCGATGCTCTTCACGCCCCGGGGGCTGCTGCTGGGGTGCAGGTTCCAGGATATCCCTGGAGAGCAGAGCCCCATGCTGGGGACAAAACAAGAGTGTATGGGGTGGGAGACATGTCTGTCCCCCAGCTGGGACCCAGGGATGAGGGAAGAGCCCAGCCAGGCCAGGTAGCAGGGGTCCTAGTTCTCCCGCAAGAAACCCATGTGCCCAAGTGGTAAATGGCTCCTATGGGGGTGGGGGGGGGGGGGGGGCCCCGTGGGCCCCAGGATGAACCGATCTGTCTCCCAAGGGGATTCAGCAGCAGTCTGCACTGGTCTGGGAGTACACAATGAAACTGATTATTAATATTATTTCCCCAAGTGCCCATTGGTTATTGGGCTGTATTCATGCCTGTTTATCAGGTATGTCCCGTCCCCGTTATTCTAATGGGTCATATTTGGGCATCCAGTGTGAAAGCCAAGTGGCTTCTACCATTGGGTGACTTATTAGAACACTGTGGTTGCCAGCAGGGCAGAAAACATGAGGGCTGTGTCTAGACTGGTCAGTTTTTCCGCAAAATCAGCTGCTTTTGCAGAAAAACTTGCCAGCTGTCTACACTGACCACTTGAATTTCCGCAAGAACACTGACTTCCTACTGTAAGAAATCAGTGCTTCTTGCGGAAATACTATGCTGCTCCCGTTCGGGCAAAAGCCCTCTTGCGCAAAGCATTTGCGCAAGAGGGCCAGTGTAGACAGCACAGTACTATTTTGCGCAAAAAAGCCCTGATGGCTAAAATGGCGATCGGGGCTCTTTTGCGCAAAAGTGTGTCTGTACTGGGCACGGACGCTTTTCCGCAAAAAGTGATTTTGCGGAAAAGCGCCCATGCCAATCTAGA